GTGAATGAGGAGGGTGTGTCCAGAATATTTGACGACGAGGACGTGGATCAAAGACCACAATTAACGGAAAACGATTTTGTCATGGCCATGGCAAATAATGAAAATGATATGTTTTCATATTTTGATTCCGCATTCTTGCGTAATTGGGCTGGTCCAGAACACTGGAAATTAAAGCGCGTTGCCAGAGGTATTTTATTTTTGCATATAATTTCACTATTATCTACGTTTAACCGTGATAATTCTTCCAGATGCGCAAAACGAGACGAATTCAGAAACAAAGGAAAGGAAGAAAAAAGAAGCATTTTCCATTGATTTCATCGGATCTGATGATGTGAATGAATTGACAATTTTTGCATCTGGCGGAAATAGTCTCATATTGCCAAAACTGGCCGAACACGTTCCACACGGCCATCGACTCCCCGATGATATGCATTTTTCATCCAAACAGTTACTTCACTTATTCCTAAAACCAGACTACATGGTACTTGCAAGTTTATCTTTTATAATCTCCCATTGAAGACACGTGAAAATTCATCCTATTAAAACATGAGGTTATACAAATAATTTTTTCCTAGTTGAAAGTGAGACGTCGGTATGAACAGATTGTTGAAAGTAAGAAATTCTTTGGTATTTGAATTTTGTTGGATTTCTTTATTGTTGCTCGAATTGGGGAAAAAAAAAAATGTTTGTTTTTTTCTTTTTTTTTTTAAAAAAGGCGATGATTTTGAAGTAGGCGAAACCTTTTGGGCAGAAGGAAATAATAATGAAAATGAAGAAAATACATCTTTTCCAGACATGAGTAAGTGCATCGAAAGAATATATTGCGCGTATTATGTAAAATAGGATCAATCAACACTTGCTAACGCTCATAGTACGTATTTTATTTGACCAGCCATGGTGACGGCAGGAGATACCTTTTTTCAAGATGATGACGGATTTGAAGATGAAATTATCGACGAGGGAGAGTTTGGTGACAATTTAGTATCTCAGGCAAGACGAACTAAGCCTGAACACATTAAATTTGCCAGAACGGCAAAAAGAATCGACGTTAAGAAGTTAAAAGATAACATATGGAAAACGTTGGTAATCAATGTAAGTGTCTTATTTCCACGCTTCTATGAATTGCGAACATTGGGATTCGAATTCACTTCCAAATATGGTTTAGCCTCAAGAAAAAGGAACAAGAAGATCGTTAACGAGAAATACACAAATTTCTGATTGTGATCAAGACGAAAATTTATCCGCCACTCAAGAACAAATTAAAGATCAAAGATTCACTGATGTCATAAAAAACCTTGCGAAAATTTACCCGGAAAAAAAGATGAAAGACATCTCGGTACCATTTTGTTTCATATGTTTGCTACATTTGGCAAATGAGAAAAATTTAAGCATAACTGTGGCAAATGAAGGTTTGACAGAATTGGAAATTAAAAAGACCGAGAAGGATAAAGAGAACTAGGAATAATACTTTTTATTAAACAAATTTCATTTTTTTTTCTTGTTTAGCGAAAGTATTTTCAAGATTTTTATTTATTATGATATTAAAATAAAGTAAAATTCAATCATCATACAATGGACATTACGTACGCATATTTTTTCTTATGCAGTGTTGATAGGTTTAATCATGAAAATTATCTTAATGATTTATTTATTATTCGAATATAATTTTTTTGCAACAAATTATGAGCTACAAAAAAAACAATGTCCAACTTCTTTGTACTTTAAGACCTCTTATTAATAAGATTTATTTGATTGGAATATTCATTCTTCTAACTATCTGAGAAACTTATCTATTTTTTATCTTGATTTTTTTCTTGTATATTATCTGAGAAACTTATTACCTTATAGGAGATCTTTACTTTCATGAATATACTTTGTCTTAACTTGCTTTGGACAATGATTTTTTGTTCATTTGTAATAGGTATTTGACTTATTATAAACTTCAGATTCTTATATAATCTAGAGAAACCAAGTCATATTGTATTAGTATAATATCTTTCAATAACTATATTTAGTTAAAAATTTTTATTGGTATTATTTTCTATTATTTAAAAAAACAAATTTGCTAATAATACTTTTATCTTGAGAACTTTGAACTTATTTAAAACTGAGAACTCTTATTAATTATGATATCCTTCTATAACTTCTGAGAAAATATATTTTTAATTACGGTTGCTTTCAAAAGTTTGAGTCCACTTACTATGTTTTTATTATAAATTTTAACTTTGACAATTTTTAAATCATTAACTATACAGT